TCGGCCTGTCTTGTCTTTGCAGAATGGTGTCTTTCCTCCAAACACTTCATGTCTGACCATCTTTTTCACCACCATTTCTGAGAGCACCACACACTAATATCATTACTCTCAACTACCAACCAATTGCTGTTAGTCTGCTCTATCTAGCAAACCCTTTTAATTTTATTCTGTTTTATTTTTTCATCTTATTTTTCTGTTTTCTCTTTTATTACTTCAGTTTTTTTTGTTCTTAGGAGCATTAATTTTCTTGTGTTCTCTTTTATTGCAGCTACTGTACCTTTTGTACTATGAACTCATTTACCTCACCTGCAACTCATTACTAGGAACTCAAACACAAGCACGTCACCTGCAATTTATATAGACACTTGTGAACCATAACACAAGCACCTCACCTGCACCTATGTCTACCAGAACCAGAGCAATTGCCTCACCTCACTCTCTCAGCCAAAAAAAGAAAAACCAAAAAAAAAAAACTTTCAGATGTCTCAAATGCAACTAGACACAATGAGAAATGTTTCCCACGCTTCTCCTCACGCTTTTCCTTCCTCCCTCATTTCCTCCCCACGCTTCTTCCCCACGCTTCCCCACCCCACGCTTCCTCCTCCACGCTTCCTCCCACGCTTCCTCCCCACACAACCTTCACAAAGTCCATGGACTTAGCGCACCCTCATCTCAACTACAACACTTCTTCTCACGATTCTCCTCACGCTTCCTCCCCACTTCCTCCCCACGCTTCTTCCTTCCACGCCTCCCACGCTTCCTCCCTCACGCTTCTTCCCCACGCCTTCCCCACGCTTCCCCACTGGCCTCCCCACCCTTCCACGCTTCCTCCCCACCCCCACGCCTTCCCCACCTCCCCCCACGCCCTCCCCACGTTCCTTCCCCACTTCCTTCCACGCTTCCTCCCACACCTCCCCCACACCCCCACACTTCCTCCCCACACCTCCCCACGATCTCTTCCCCACGCCTCCTCCCCACGCCCTTCCACGCCTCCCCACGCCTCCTCTCCCCACGCTTCTTCCCCACGCTCTCCCCACGCTTCCTCCCCCCACGCTCCTCCCCACGCTTCCTCCCACACCCTCACAGCCTCCCACCCACGCCTCCTCCCCACGCCTCCCCACGCTTCCTCCCCCCACGCCCTCCCCCACACTCTTCCCCACGCCTTCCACGCTCCTCTCCCACACCTCCCCACGCCCCCCACGCTCTTCCCCACTCTCCCACACTGCCCTCCCTCACACCTACCCACCAGCACCTCCCACGGTTCTCCCTGCACCCCTCACTCACCACCCTTCACTTCTTCCCTCACGATTCCTTCCCACGCCTCCCTCCCTCACGCCTCCCTCACGCTTCCTTCACGCTTCCTCCCCCACGCCTCCCCACGCTTCTCCCCCCACGCTTCCTCTCCCCACGCTTCCTCCCCCACACTCTTCCCCACGCTTCCTCCCCCACGCTTCCTCTCACGCTTCCTCCCCACACTGACCCATCACGCCCACACCTGCGCACCCCCATCCACCACTCACTACTCTTCCCCACGATTCCCTCCCCACACTTTCCCTCCCCACGCCTTCCTCCCCCACGCCTCCTCCACGCTTCTCTCCCCACGCTTCCTCCTTCACACCCCCTTCCCCACGCTTCCCTCCCTCATCAGCCTCCCTCCCCTCACGCCCCTCCCCCACGCTTCCTCCCTCACGCTTCCTCCCCACGCTTCTCCTCATCAGCCTCCCTCACACTTCCTCCCTCACGCCTCCTCCCCACTTCCCCACCTCCCCACGCTCTCCCTCCGGCCCCACGCTTCTCCCCACTTCCTCCCCACTGCCTCTTCCTCCCACAGCCTCTCCCTCACGCTCTCCTCCCCACGCCTCCCCACGCTCTTCCTTCACGCCCCTCCCCCCACGCCCTTCCCTTCCACGCTTCCTCCACACGCCCTCCCCTACATTCTTCCCCTGCACTCTCCCCACCCATCACCAAGTCTACTGACTTCACCTCACAATCCACGATTCCTCCCTCACGCTTCCTTCCTTGCGCTTCCTTCATTTTCCCCACGCTTTCTCCCCACTCCCCTCCCCACGCCCCCACAGCTTCTTCCCCACACCTCCCCCACGCCCCCCACGCTTCCTCCCCACGCCTCCTCCCCACTTCCCCCCCACGCCTCCCTCCCCACGCTTCCTCCCCCCAGCCTCCCTCCCCACTCCCCACGCCTCCCCACACGCTTCCCTCCCCACGCTTCCCCCCTCACGCTTCTTCCCACACCTCCTCACGCCTCCCCACACTTCTACCTCACTCAGCTCCACGTCATTCACTACACTACTTCTTCCCCACGCTTCCCTCACACTCTTTCCCCACGCCTCCACCTCCCCACATGCCCAGTTCCCGCACCCTCATCTCCACTACTTCTTCCCCACGCTTCCACGCTTCCCTCCCCACGCGCTTCCTCCCTCACGCTTCTTCCCTCACGCTTCCTCCCTCACGCTTCCTCCCACACGCTTCCTCCTTCACACTAATCTATCACTAGCAAGTCTACGGACTTGGCGCACCCTCATTCAACTACTACTACTTCTTCCCTCACGATTCCTCCCTCACGCTTCCTCCCTCACGCTTCTTCCTTCACGCTTCTTCTCTCACGCTTCCTCCTTCACACTTCTTCCCTCACGCTTCCTCCCTCACGCTTCCTCCCTCACGCTTCCTCCCTCACGCTTCTTCCCTCACGCTTCCTCCTCACGCTTCTTCTCTCCGCTTCCTCCCTCACACGTCCTCCCTCACGCTTCCTCCTCACGCTTCTTCCCTCACGCTTCCTCCCCTCACGCTTCCTCCCTCACGCTCCCCCCTCACGCTTCCTCCCTCCCTTCCTCCCCTCCACGTTTCTTCCCTCACGCTTCCTCCCCTCGCTTCTTCTCCTTCTCCTCCACACTTCCTCCCCTCCACTTCCTCCCTCACGCTTCTTCCCTCACGCTTCCTCCCTCACGCTTCTTCCTTCACGCTTCCTCCATCACGCTTCCTCCCTCACGCTTCTTCCCTCACGCTTTCTCCCTCACACTAATCTATCACTAGCAAGTCTACTGACTTGGCGCACTCTCAAGTACAACTACTTCTTCCGTCACGATTCCTCCCTCACGCTTCCTTCCTTGCGCTTCCTCCTTCACGCTTCCCCCCTCACGCTTTCTCCCTCACGCTTCCTCCCTCACGCTTCTTCCCTCACGCTTCTTCCCTCACGCTTCCTCCCTCACGCTTCTTCCCTCCACGCTTCCTCCCCTCACACTTCCTCCCTCACGCTTCCCCCCCTCACTTCCTCCCTCACGCTTCTTCCCTCCCTTCCTCCCTCACGCTTCCCACCCTCACCTCCCTCTCCCCCTTCCCCCTCCACACTTCTTCCCTCACTTCCTCTCTCCCTTCCTCCCTCACACCTAATCTATCAGTAGCAAGTCTACGGACTTGGCGCACCGTCATTCAACTACTACTACTTCTTCCCTCACGCTTCTTCCCTCACACTTCTTCCCTCACGCTTCCTCTCTCACGCTTCCTCCCTCACACTAATCTATCACTAACAAGTCTACGGACTTGGCGCACCCTCATTCAACTACTACTACTTCTTCCCTCACGCTTCTTCCCTCACACTTCTTCCCTCACACTTCTTCCCTCACGCTTCCCCCCTCACGCTTCCTCCTTCACGCTTCCTCCCTCACGCTTCCTCCCTCACACTAATCTATCACTAGCAAGTCTACGGACTTGGCTCACCCTCATTCGACTACTACTACTTCTTCCCTCACGATTCCTCCCTCACGCTTCCTCCCTCACACTTCTCCTCTCACATCTCCTCCCCTAGTCTCTCTTTATATCTCTCTCCTCCCCTTGTGTCTCTCTCCTCTACACCTCTCTCCTCTCCTTCTCTCTCTCCTACACCAATCTTCTCTTTTTATAACACTGTTTTCGTTGCGTCTTAAGCTGTTGTTGTTGTTGTTGTTGTTTTTGTTTTCCATACTCCGGCCAAAACACTAAATAAACAAATAAATATCGAGATCCGTGTTGTTCTTATTCCAATTTTTCCCAACAACATTTATGACGATTGTTTGTTGTAAATATTATCATCATCTTAGAAAAATAAACATGGGAGCTCATTTGACTCTCATGGTTACTTCACCTGATGCTTTAAACACTAAGCAGCTCATTTGACTCTCATGGCTACTTCACCTGTTGATTTAAACACTAAGCAGCTCATTTGACTCTCATGGTTACTTCACCTGTTGATTTAAACACTAAGCAGCTCATTTGACTATCATGGTTACTTCACCTGTTGATTTAAACACTAAGCAGCTCATTTGACTATCATGGTTACTTCACCTGTTGATTTAAACACTAAGCAGCTCATTTGACTCTCATGGTTACTTCACCTGATGCTTTAAACACCAAGCAGCTCATTTGACTCTCATGGTTACTTCACCTGTTGATTTAAACACTAAGCAGCTCATTTGACTCTCATGGTTACTTCACCTGATGCTTTAAACACTAAGCAGCTCATGACAGCTAACTTCCCCCCATCCCCCCTATCTATCACACTTAAAACATACAACACACTCAAGTCACACTTTAATACACACTTAACTTTACGACACCTACACTTAACTATCATGGCCACCCCCCCATCCCTCTCAAACCTCGCACATACTATATTATATACTTAACACTTATAAACACACTTAATAT